AGGGTGGGGGCATGAGCTCCTAGCCACCTCCTGCCAAGCGGGCGGCCAGGGGTGGCCAGGCGTGGGGCTGGCAGCTGGTATTGTTGTGGAGCGGCTGGACTGGCTTTGTTTGGGTGGCTCTGAACCAGGGATTCCTCTTCTTGGCAGTCCCGGGGAGGGTGGCTCAGTCTGCCCACGTTGGCATCCACCGTGCAGGGGGTTCTCTAAACGAGAACTCAGCCAACGTTGCTTTGCCTCGAATACAAATCCCAAAATCCCCACCCGGCCAGCGTTCTGGGAAGTGTTGTCCAGAAGAATCTAACGTTCCCCCCCCCCNNTGTTCTGCTCTTGCAGGGGCAGGTGGGGACAATGGCAAGGCAGGTGGTGGTGGGGGCGTTGGCAAAGGAGAGGGGGAGCCGGCTGGGGAGGGGCGAGGGGATTATAAATAAGAGCACATGGTTGGTTTCCCATCTGACCCCCAGACCTATCTTGATTGGGCAAAACCAGCCGTTTCCTGTCCCCCCCCATCTCTTTTTTTGACAATATTGGAAGTTGTTCCATTAGGGGGAAAGGGCATTGCCCCACTGGAGGTCCAGGCTGCCCCCAGACAACCCATTTCTGCCAAGCTCCTTAGGAGAGGTGGAGGGAAGAGCACATGGTTGGTTTCCCATCTGACCCCCAGACCTATCTTGATTGGGCAAAACCAGCCGTTTCCTGTCCCCCCCCATCTCTTTTTTTGACAATATTGGAAGTTGTTCCATTAGGGGGAAAGGGCATTGCCCCACTGGAGGTCCAGGCTGCCCCCAGACAACCCATTTCTGCCAAGCTCCTTAGGAGAGGTGGAGGGTCAGGGCCCCATTTGGGTTCCCCTCCCACTGCATTTTCATATGATCGCCTGCTTGCCTACCTGTGCATGTGCATGTTAAGGATACTGTTGTTTGTCCTGGCTCTGCTTGCCACCCTTGGGCCCCACCCATCGATGCAGTGCCATCTGTCCTACCAGTGAAAATGGGCACCGGCCGCCGATGGTTTGTTGGTCTGCCTTTTGGCCACCCTCGACCACTGATCGTTGCCATCGATGCGTGGATTGGCCACGTAGGAACCTGAACAATCGTGATCTCATCTGTTTTCAGAAGATAAACAAGGTTGGGCTTGGTTAGGACGTGCAAGGAAGGTGCCAAGGGATCTTCAGAAGGGGATGAGAGAAAATCCTGAAAACCCTAGAGAGCTGCGGCTGCCAGTCAGGGTTGAACACATAAAGCTAAATGGACATTGTTGAGTTTCCTGTATCATGTTAAACCGAACGTACCCAACCTTATCTGGTTTCAAAAGCTAAGCAGGGTTGGGCTTGGTTAAGACTTGGATGGGGGAACCCTAAGGACCTCCAGGTAGGAAAGGATCCTCCCTGAGACTCTGTAGGGCTGTTGTTGCCAGTCAGAGTTGACAGTATGGGATTAGGCGAGTTCCCTACCACATGTCGATCTGAACACACCCAAACTCAACTGGTTTCAAAAGCTAAGCAGCCCTGGGCTTGGTCAGTGTTTTGGATGGGAGACATCCCAGGGATCTCTAGATAGGGAAACTCTGAAGCTAAGCAGGGTTGATGATACTGGACTAGAAGAACGGAAGGATGCACTTGTTACAAAACAGCTATATCCCTTAAGACCAGTAAACTGATTTGGAAAGGATCAACTCCTTATTTTTCTTCTTCTTCTTCTTCTCCTTCCTATTGTCTGCTTTGCCCCTTCTGGACTTAGCGCAGCTGTTGTGTTGCAAGGAATCTGAGTCATAATCAGTCTTCATAATCATATAATAATGGCAAGAAGGAGTCTTTCTCCTCCCCAAATGGCCAGGCATCGGTTGCACGCCCCTCTGTTTTGTAACATTGAGAGCGCCGTTGAGAAAACCCACCAGGGCGATAGCAGACCATGAAAGCCGAGGCAGAGTCAATGGGAGAGGCCGAGGAAGGGCAAGGGGGGAGAGAGCCCGGGTATGAGAGAGCAGAAATGGGGCAGGGAGGGGTGGGGGAACCACGAGGAGTCTCTTCGCCTCTCTACTGAAACATGGCATGCGTCACTCATGCTCACGGATGGATTTTATAGGTGGTGCTTGACGGGGAAGGGGTAAAAGAGAGAGACAGAGAGATCGGAGGGGAGCATTGGGAGACCCCCCCCCCCCCACCGGGTCGCCTTTTTTATGGGGGGGGATGCTCTTTATGTAGGTCAGAGAAGGAGGATCTCTTTCTCTCTTTGTAGATTCTGAACAGCTCCCTCCCGGTTGGGTCTAGGGGGGTGTTTACATGCAGGGAGAGGGTACGTTGCTAAAAGCAGGACCATCTGGCTCGGTTGTGCTGCAGAAGAGGGCAGCTGTTGGCGCCGTGGGCTGATTTAGGCCATGCGCTCTGCCTGTTTGACTCCGAACCGTCCCTTTCCTCCCTCCGTTGGTTTGGGAAAGGGCCTCGTTTATCATCCTTCCTTCCTTAGCTTTGGATTCCGATGGGCTTCCTTCGAACAGCGTGTTAGTTGGGGGGGGTGGTGTTAGATGGGGGCCTGGAGCTTGCAAATCTGGACCGTTTTCTTTGGGGTGGGTTTTTGCAGGGGCCTCTTTAAGCCGATGCTGTGCTCGTCTTGCGCCCGGCCTCTGCAGAAACTGCACAAGAAGAGCCTTCCCTTGGCCAGCATTTTCATTTCCCTCCTGGGGCCCACCAGATCCCCCGATAGGAAACCCCAAGAGAAAGGCATGACGGCAACAGCATCCTCCCACTTCTGCTCTCTGGCAAAGAGGTATTAGAGGTAGACTGTCTTGGTACGTGGAAGTTCCATTCCTAATTCCCATGGCTAATAAGAAAAAATGGTGCATAAACTAGCTGGTCTGCATAGTCCCAAACTGGTTTGGGAATTCTTCCCAAGGAGGATTCTGGCTCAACCCCACCCGCCCTCTTGCGTTCCCCCCACAACTGCCTCTGGTCTTGAAGCAGCAGCACAAAGCCATATTATTGCTGCTGTTAGTAAGTATCAATAACTTTCTCTCCCACGTATTTGTCTAATGACATTAAAGCCATCTAAACTGTGGCCCGAAACCCTTGTGCCTAACGATGGCAGTTTTCTTGAGGTCTCTGTGTGCTCCTGCTTTTTTCGATTTCCCTAAAAATCCCCCCACACACACACAAAAGAGAGAGCATGTGCGAGAGATTGGAGGGGATTGGGTCGGCCCTGCGTTGCTCAACCACCACCACAACCCCATTTCTGAGCCGTCCTTGGGTGTCAATGTTCCGGGAATTTCATTGATTATTCTGGAGCAAATTTATTCTCTCGGCGCGGTAGCTAAAATAGCACGATTTTAGTCCGAGGCAGAGTGTCCAACAATACCTCGTGGTGGTGAAGGCGGCAATATCCTTCCCACACATCTTGTTTAGATCGTGTTGCGTAACAGGGGACCCATCGGGGAAGAAAATAGCAAAACAGCTGCCTAGGCTGGCCAGCTTGGTCTAACTCACTTGGAGAACAACACAGTGCAAATGGGGGGGTAGGTCACGTGCACCCAAGACTTGTGGGTTCCACGCCCAGGGATTTTCTGGGTAGCAGGGGTTGTGATGTCATCCGCCGTCTCCCTCAGGCTTCCCTGTTCCCTCTGCTCTCAGCTGTGGTCCTCACGACACGCGGCAGAGAAACTGATTAATTTCCACGTTCCCCTAGAACAATTATTCCTGTTGTCGTTCCGTGGTGTCAAGTCAGAGTATAGTGACTCTATTAGCCTCTCACGGCTTTATAAGAAGGGGCTTCATCAGCTCTACATCCCCCGTG